CGTGCTTCGGCAGAGTGGTTGGACTTGTGGACCCACAGAGGTCCCTTCCAACCCCGACCATTCTGTGATTCTGTGATTCTGTGATCGGCTGGAGAGTAGGTTCAGTTTCAGAGCGAGAGTCTGGAAAATTACACGATTGAAAACAGACAAATGTTCTCTTCCTGCAGTTGCCCCTAATAAAAATCGAGGGAAGAGAGAAACCGGGACTGTGAACAAGAGGGAGGATAAAGAAAGCGTAGCTGTCCTTGCGTACAATCTGCTTATAGCTCTGCCGTGTCCTTAAAATCAAGATGTATGCTGGCAGGATGAAAAATACGATGCAATTATGAAAATGTTTAATTCGGATTATTGTATAGAAATGACCGGAATAAGAAATATTCATTGAGGAAACAGTTTTGCTTTTTTTTTATTTCTTTTAACTGTAGGTCCAATGGATTCACTTACAGTGTCAATCAAGAGGCTGTTAATAAAATCCTGGACATGTTTGGTAAGTGTTCTCCAGCTCGTTCCATGAGAGTTTCTCCAGTTACAAGGTGCTTCGGACAACGCGCGTGTTAGAGGTAGTGGTTTTTCCCTAGTAGTCCCTTAGATTTATCTGTATAAAAATCCTAAGGATTGTTTTTTTACGGTACTTTTGCCAGTATCATTCATTGCCGCTTTGAATCTTCCTTATTTGAAATACCGTGCGACCCCATGCCCAAGGAAAACAAAGCAAAAAGCAGTTTTATGGAGTAGTATGTACAGTTCTGATGTGTTAGAGGTAGTGGTTTTTCCCTAGTAGTCCCTTAGATTTATCTGTATAAAAATCCTAAGGATTGTTTTTTTACGGTACTTTTGCCAGTATCATTCATTGCCGCTTTGAATCTTCCTTATTTGAAATACCGTGCGACCCCATGCCCAAGGAAAACAAAGCAAAAAGCAGTTTTATGGAGTAGTATGTACAGTGATGATAAATGTTTGGCTTTTTTCTTCCCCTGTTAGATGCTAGGACGCCCGTACCGAAACCCATGGCTGCACGGCTCTGAGCGGTTCCAGCGGCGGTGCCTGGATGTCGGTGCCTGCGGAGAGCCCCGGGGACCGGGATGGGGACCGGGATCGGGCT